CCAGGTACACGGCCAGGGGAAGAGATGGCGCACAGGCTTCCGATCGGGGCCACAGGAGGCGCGGAGCAGCTGTGACCGCAGCCGCCTCAGAAAGCCCCAAGCTATTTCTGTCCCAGAGATGGTTCATAAGGGCCCCAGGAGGTGACTGCCCTTTCAGATGTGAAGAGAGCAGAACTTCAAAGAGCATAAAACCTCAAAGAAGAAAGGAGCAGAGGAAGCGAAGAACAGGAGAGAACCCTTAGTAAGAGAGCATGAGTAAGTCCATGACATTCAGTGTTTCTTTCGATGGAAATGGACTCCACTGTCCTCCCAAAAGGCAAGACTGGCTGCAGGAATAAAAAACGTAAAAAACGGGTGCCTGGGTAGCTCAGTCGATTAAACAACCGACTTGGTTTCAGCTCAGGTCATGATCTTACCATTCGGTGAGATCGAGCCCCGCGTCAGGCCCTGAGCTTACAGCATGGAGCCTACTTGGAATTCTTTCTCCCTCTCTCTCCACCGCTCCTCTGCTTTGGGTGTGTGCGTGCGCTCTCTCTCAAAATAAATAAATATTTTTTAAAAAAACACAAGAAACAACAGGTGTTGGCGAAGACATGCAGAAACGGGAGCCCTCTTCCACCTTTGGTGGGAGCACAAACTGGTTGGCCGCTCTGGAAAACAGGAGGGAGGGGCCTCAGAGAATTAAAAATAGAACTTTCCTATGACCCTGAGTTTTTCTAGGTACTTTTCTTCTTAAAATAATAGCAGCCTGTTTCACATAGGAAAACATAAAGATTTCAAATGTAAGATCATGGTTAAGCCTACATGCCTGGACTGCTTTCTCTCCTGAGAGCAAAGAATGTCATTTGTACCTCCCCTGCACTGTTCGCCTGTAGGTTAGAGACTGGTCCACCGGGCAGTGCCTCACCCAGTTCTTCAGGATTCTTTGTTCTGTGTACTCGGAAGACTTCAGGGCCAGAATGGTTGCTCCGTCCGCGGCCCCAGGGTGAGGGCCAGCTGTACATTGGTGTGTGGCTACAGGCTCAATTTGGGCATCTGAGTCTCGAGGGCCCAATTTTTAGGCGGGAAGGGAAGCATATCCTGTCACATTCTTGCTAGAACTGTCATGGAGTTAGTACACCTTCTCGGTTATGTTAGCGCTCCATCCCCTACCTCGTCACTCAGGAATGGTACAGCTGGACAAGGGAAAGCCCAGAGTGGATTTCAGCCTTAAAACTTAAAAGAAGAGAGGGAGAGAAGGAGCCCTCACACCCAACCAGCTGCCATTTTTACATAAATGGCCAACATGATGGTTATAGGGTGAATTGTGTCCCTCAAAAGAAGACACGGTGAAGTCCCCCTCCATCCCTCTGCTACCTCACAACATGACCTTACTTGGAATAGGATTGTTGCAGATGCACTCAGCTGAATGAAGTGCTGCTGGAGTGGGATGGGCCCTAATCCAGCGTGGCTGGTGCCCTCATAAGAAGATGGCCATCTGGGCGGCTCAGTCGGTTAAGCATCTGACTTCAGCTCAAGTCATGATCTCACAGTTTGTGAGTTCGAGCCCTGTGTCAGGTTCTGTGCTGACAGCTGGGAACCTGGAGCCTGCTTCAGATTCTGTGTCTCTATCTCTCTGCCCCTCCCCCACTCATGTATTAATAAATACACATTAAAAAAAATTTTTTTAAGATGACCACATAAAAACAGAGACTCGTTGAGAGAACGCCATTTGATGGTGGGGGCAGAGGTTGAAATGATGCTGTGGTGCCCACCACCAGAACGAGGCGAGGAAGGCTGTCCCTATGTGTTTCAGAGGGAGCACTGTTCTGCCAACACCTTGACTGCAGACATCTGGCTTCCAGAACTGTGAAATGACCAATTCCCATTGTTTGGAGCCGCCCAGCTTGTTTTAGAAGCTCTAGGAACATAACGTGATGATCAACACAGTTGACTAGACCAGATCCTGGGATTCGATTCTACCTATTCTGGATGCTCCCTTCATGCTACACACTCCCCTTCCTTCCAGCCTCTCCCACATGCACACAAAGATCAAGGTAACCCAAGAATGCATTTGCAGATGGACAGATTTCTCGCTCAAACCGCAGAAGCCTTGCAGCACTCATCCCATGCATGGTCCACAAGGGAGAAAAGAGCTCCTGTAGGAATCAGCAATTCTTTCTGGCTGGATGAACAGAATATGTTTTTGAGAAGCCTAAATGAAATCCATGAAAGCACAGCACAGTCCGTCTTAGTTGGCAGAGAGGGTCAGGAGGAAGAAAGGCATTCGTGTGCCCACAAGTCTAGTCTACAGGCTGATGCGTCTTGCTATTTCCGAGGCCCATTGGGTCCCGTCCAGCAACTACTTGTCTTCCCTGTCCTTCTCTCTCCCTGTCCCCACCCCTCCCATCACTCTTCCCCACTAAGCCTCCAGATCTGGGGGACAGATGGAGCACAGCATTTCTATCCCCTAAACTCATGTTCAAATGTATTCACGTGAGGAGTCCCAGATAAGGACTGCTTTCCTATTATTTTCTGTGTGATTAACTGAAAACCCATCCAGGCCCCAAGCTGCATAAAGAGGGTCCTACCTCCCCTTTTCCATCACTGAGAGGGACCTGCACTGGCTCTGCATGGCTGGGATATCTGGTCCCTTAGCTGGGCATGCAAGGGGGACCTGAGTTCTGATTGGTCACATGGATGAAACTTCAACAAATCCTGACCTGGGAGTTAACATTTGACTCTTAGTTTGGGGGTCCCAGGGGCAGGGGTGCTTCCTCAGTCCCCTGGCATTATAAAGGAATGGAAGGTTCATGAAGCAACATGAACAAGTAAAACCTACCTGTGCATCTGAGAACACTCACTGTGTTGTGCCGCCTTCTCTAACTGGGCAATATGGTGTCAATATAGTCAATATAGAAAAATAAGAATTTCATATTCATTGCAGCCAACATTGTTGATCAACATCTGTTCTCCTCAGTCACTGCAGCTGTGCTATCAGACACAGCTGTCACAGGCTCATAAAGGAACAACTTCATTTCTTAGGATCCGTTCTGGGGAAACAAGAATGTGGCACCTGTCTGTTTACTTGAGAAACCAATGATCACCTTATGGCTGACGAACTCAGATGCTTGGAGCCCAGCGATTTACCCAGGAGGATAAATCACGCAAGCTCAGCCTTTCTGGAGGGTTCTCCAAGGTCCTAAGCCCTTCAACCACTGAGACTGGCTGTTCTGCCTCTTCACATCTGCAAGGAATCCATGTTTCCTTTGCATTTGGATCTTCCATTCTGTTAATCAAAATTCACCAACCTCCATTGCATTTGGATCTTCCATTCTATTAATCAAAATTCACCAACCTCCATTTTCTAATCTTTTTCTCTACCTCTCTAGCCCCTACCCCTCATCACTCTGTAGTTGATACTAAAACTCATGGGTGCCATTTAGGAAGTGCGTCCCATGCGTCAGGCTCTGTGCCAGGTTTATCAGTGGTTGACGTAGTGACCAAAACAGCCTGGAAGGTGGGGATCGTTACCCTCTTTGGCTGATGGTAAGAGTGAGGTTTAGAGTGGTCAGTCCTCTGTCCCACAGATCAGTAGAGCAGAGGAGGGGTGCTCACTTCCAATGTGGGTTATCTTACTCCCCAGCCCACCTGAGCTCCTTCACTACCACGTGGATTCGTCAGATGTCATCAGAGGGTTCATTCCTTGAACCCTCTGTAGAGAGACGGGAAACTCTCAAAGCAAGTTCAACTCACAAGCAGAAGGTGATACCCTGTGCTTTTTTAATATAATTAAACATGACCTGTGCTGCTTACGTGATATCTCTCCATACATAATCACTTTTTCAAGTTCCATTTACATAGAACTTCACTTCCATGTGAGCGATCATCATCTGTCTACCATGCGGGACTCCCCAAGGATGGCAGGAGATAGCTCCTTTTCTGCTGGATTAGCTAGGGTTCTCCAGAGAAACAGCACCAACAGGATATTGGTATATAACATATGTATATCAAGCAAGAGGCTTAACATAAGGAACTGGCTCACATAACTATGGAGGCTGGTGAGTCCAAAGTCTGCCTAGCAACTGCCAGTCTCTGCCTGGAGACTGAGGGCCAGAAGCTACTATAGAGCCAGGAAGAGCCAGTGTTTCAGATCAGAGGCAGTCAGACAGGAAAGAATTCTCTCTTACTCAGGGGGAGGTCAACCTTTTCTTCTTGTTAAGCCTTCAGCTGCTCGGATGAGGCTGACCTGAATTACGGAGGCCAGTCTGCTCCGCTCTAGTCGCTGCTTCCAGTGTGAATCTCATCCAGAAAACACTCTCACAAAAACACCCACAGTGACACTTGACTAAACGTCTGGGCAGCCCAGGCCCGCCCCGCATGCCAACTTCATATGTGGGGTGACCATTGCCTAGAATGTTGTGGTGAGGACACGGATGGGGATTGCTGACTGGCGTCCACCTGGACCTGAGGAGAGAGGGGGCAGTGGACCAAGAATTGCCATCTGTGTTATGAAACCATATGGAAGAGAACAGAAGATCGAGTGCCTATCAAAAAAGTTACAAGAAAGTAGATAATTACCAAGTGAAAGTAGCTGGTGGAATTAAGTTCCCTGCTTCCTTTGTATACCTCGCACGACTGTTAATTTCTAGAAGACAGTCTCTTTCTGAAAGTGACAACTTAAAAAGTTGAGGGAATCCTATGGCAAATTGTCCATATGGATCTCAGAAGTATGCATAAAATACTACTATTCATATTCCTCTGTTCTGTTTTGTTTGTCAGAGCTTGGTATTAAGTAACACATCCACGTTAATTTGGAAGAATCTTTTACTGAGCTTTCAAAATAGGGATTATTTTGTTTTGCTGCAGTCTGGGCTTGAAGATGTATTTGAAAGGTGTGTGTGTGGCTGCAGTCGAACATGCACTGGAGGTTCTCAAGTTCCTTGATATACGAATTCTAAGTGCCGTATGTATGTTGTTTTGTATTGTTTTTGTCTGTCTGTCTGTCTGTTCTCTAATAGACCAGGCATTTGGAAAGACCTGAAGACCATGGGCTCAGTGTCTCTCTTTATATTCTTCATCACACTGCTCGTTCTGGGTCGACAGGTAAGACCTCTGCCTTTTCACATAACTTCCCTCTAGATCCGTGTTAATAATACGTTGCCTGTACATCGACCTTACCTCAGTTTTATAAACAGAGTCTGTCCAGTAGTAATAATGATAATACTCTGCTGATGTGCATTGCAGCTGCTCTCATGCAAACAAATGCTGACGCATCATGGTCATTTTATCACCAAAGAGAAACGGGGGTGTGCGTGCGTAGATACAGACAAAAGGAAAAGTCCTCTCATTTTTTTTCCCCGCAAGAGGCACACTTTGTGAATGGTGGAGATGTAAATCCATTCCTTGGGAAATCTCAAAATAATGTAGGTTTTGTGAGCCTACAAAGGCATTCCCTTGATAGCTGACACTATTTGGAAAATTACCCCCTGGCCCGGGGTTTTATTTGCGTTTCAGAACGGATGGCCTGTTTCTCTTTCTTAGAAGTGGGTATGAATACCTTTGACGTCATCTGCAGTCCTTCCTGGAAATACCGCCCTCCATTCAAAAATTGTATTTTGTCAGGAGAATGAAACCATCCCTCCATGCGCTCCCCCCTCCTTCTGGTCTCCAAGGAGAGGTTGTGGGTGCAGGATTTTCAAGGACAATATTCTTCCTGTAACTGCACACAAAGACAATTGCCCAAAGAATAAAGACTCATTCCACACCAGGCACTCTGCGTCCACCAAAGTTGGCTTGGGATTCTTTGATGGATAATGTAAGACAAACGATATATATAGAAATAACTGACTAAGATGCAAAGCCAACTTAATTATATATAGCATTAAACAGCTAAACACTAGGAAGTTGTTAATAACTGCACAGTCAGAGCAGAGGCCGGGTCTGTGGCTGCCAGTCCAGTGGCCTGAAAACGCTGTTCTCTTCCGAGGAGCACCCACGCCTGCTTCCCTGGAAGCTACAGTGCATCGCCGCCCCACCCCCACCCCGAGTCTCCCAGGAGCTGAACTGTTGTCTTGCTGCAGAGCTCTAGAAGGCTCCTGTCTCCCCTCCGTCCCACCCTGCCCCTGTCCCTGGCACATGCTTGGGTCTGCATCCCTTGGCTTGTCGCTTGGACAGTCTGCACATCCCAGTTAACCCACTGAACCATGTCCTGTTCTTTATTTGTTCTCCTGCCACCTGGCTCCCTCCTCCATTCATCTGCTTTCGGTTCTGGCTCCTAGAGAAAAGGCATGTCCACTCTCAGGAAACCCTATTAGAAGTGAAAGATGGGAAAGGAATGGGCTTCCTTGCATAATATCCCCTAGTGATCATTCCTCTGGAAACATGGCCGCCCCCTCGATGGGGTCACCTGTTTCTCCGTTTCGTCCCAAGGATATTTTTGTCTGCACTTTTTCCTACTAGAGTCATCGGTCAGATTGCTTCACAGCAGTGTATTTGAAGGGCCAAGAATCAAATTGATTTCTCCCAACTCTTTATCGATCAATGAATTGATAAACCTGCCACACTATGTAGATGTCACATCCAGCCGCAGCCCCTCGATCTGTCATTCTCTGGCATAAGATAAACAATCAGAAGTGTTCAGTATTACGGTCGGGCATTAATTTAACACAATAGTGCTGATTCCAGTCTCACAGGGAGTCACTACTGTACATACACTGTTGTTTACTGTCCACACCTATAGTCACTGCTTCTTATGGGAGTGACGGTGTGACAATCATTCCTTAACAGCTGGCACCATGCATGTGCCAGGGTGAGCCAGGATCATTCAGCCAATGACCTACTAAGATTCCAAGTCTTCTGGGCTAACAAGAACCTCAAAGTCTGTGACGTAGTGCTTCTGCATAGTCTTCTGAAGATGCAAGTATGTCATAAACACACGTCTGATGTTTAAAATAATGTATTTAAGTTTCGTAAATGTGCATGGCCTCAGGGTTACTTATCCCCGAGGTGTTTTTTCTTTAAACAACAGGACAGACATTTTGCCACTTATTTTCATTGTCATTTGTCCCAATGACTCCCCAGGCCGATGACCCTCTTTTTTGAAATGACAGTGAGGTGTTTGCTCTCTGAGCAAATTAGCATGCTAAATATCGCTCTGGGTATGGAAGACACCTTCCTAAAACCAGAACCCGTGTCCCGGACTAGAGCTGTGCGTGGTACTACGCTCTGTGCTGAAATACAGTCTGTTCTAGAAATGCCAGCCTGAACTCAAGGGCCTCTTTTGAAGAATGAAGATTCTCTGTATTTCTCCTGAGTTTAAATCACGACACGCTGCCAATGAGGGTCTGCATTCTAGGTGGGCTTGTTCGGGATCCAGACAGGTGGCAGGTGGCAGCCTGGAGGCCTGAGAGGTAGGCTGAGGTCGCTGTGTGCGAGGCTTGAGGTCAGAACCCAAGAGTGCGCAGAATCACACATCCGTGTAGAAATAGGTCAGCCCCGCCAGTCCCCCACAGCTTGTTTTCAGGACTGCATGATTAAAAACTGCCCTCGAGGCCGAGTTGGGTGTGAAACAGAGCAGCGAGGCTCCCAGAGATGGCCTGGGGGCCTCCTCCCGGCTCCCTTGGTTGTTGTCATCATCACCAGGACAAATGAGGAGCGAATCCCATGTCTCTGAGTGGGATCTGAGCCTCTGCGGCTGCTCGGCAGATGCGGAGAGGTGGGTGAGGAGGTAGGGGCGAAGGTTCACTGAGCAGCGCTGCTGTTTACTTGAAGTGCCACGCAGAGTCTTGGAGGCAGTGGCTTCCCCTGACCTCCGCCGCCCCCTCCACATGGCCTCCCATCACATCTGTGTCGAATGCCCCTCTTCTTTCTCTTAGAGGAAACAGTCATTGGGACTACAGACCACCCTAAATGCAGCATGATCTCATGCCGAGATCTGTAAGTTAATTACACCTGCAGTCTATTTCCAGAGAAGGTCACAGTCACAGATATCACAGGTGAGGACTCAGAACTGTCTTTCTGGGGGACACCGCTGAATCCGTTCAACTGGCTAGGGATAGAAACGTCCATCTTCCTTTGGGGGCTTCCCCCTGAGTTTCCAATGAGCTTATCCTTCTAGGAGAGGGTCCCACAGCAGATTGCACTGGGGAGGTGGGAGGTAAAGACAGCAAAATGTCACTTCCAGACAGGTGGACATGGTCCCAAAGTGCCCCGATTCCTTCAGTTAGGAGACATACCAAGTGCTTCCTGTGATGCGGTGGCTATCAGTCAGACCTGAGCCACCCCTTAGGATGGCTCACAGAAACCCTGCCAGACCATGCGCTGGGCTCACCACCTGCCCTGCACCACTTCCGAGATCCTCTCTGATTCACTTTGTCTCATCTCGAATGTGTATCCATGTCTTCCCGATGCCACCATCACAGACTGGCAAGTCATCTTAGTTTAAAACCGGCCACACCACTGGTGTACACACACAACCCATACAACCTGTTGTCCAAGCAAGAGCCCTTTTCCAGCAAGTGCAGTGGGTGATTTCTGTAGGTTACAGATGTGGCAGATTTGGCGTTAATGTAAAAATTTAATATAAACAAACATTGAAAATACCTCTTTTGAAATCTTTTTTAAAAATGCCTCTGTATAAAGTAAAAATAAACTCCACATGAGGGGAAGAGGAATAATGCTTGAGCACATCATCCACGGCTTGAATCAAACCTCGTTGATGAATGATCACTTGTCTTTCAGCTTCCAAAATGGGAATTTAAAAAAAAAAACAAACTGCCATCTGTGCATGAGAGGCTCTGTGTGTGTGTGCATACGTGTGTGCACACGTGTGCACACACATCCGTACGTGCATGTGTGTGCAGGTTGTGTACTTGTGTGTATATGTGTGTACATGTGTGCACGTGTCCATGCATGTATGAGTGTATGTGTGGTACATGCACACACGTGTGTGCTTATGTGTGCACATGTATGTATATGTGCGTGTGTGTGTGCATGTGTACTGTATTAGTATAAATAATCAAACCAATAAAATAAACAGACCTCCAGCATTTATTTCTCCTTTGCATGTTTTCATCGGGAAGTTACTCCCTGTGCTGAAATACACCTTGTCTATTACGCCCTTCCATTACAGGAAGATTCCTTCAAGGCTGTTCCACCATAGTACATTCCTTACATCATAGCAGACCCAACATGATGCCAAAATCAAAGACACCCTTTGCCAGTAAACAGGCCTCTCTGTTTCCACAACATCAATAATAACAGTTTTTAAGCAAACATTAAATTGTACTACATCATAAAGCATGAATACCTGTTTCCACCAGCAGGCACCGTCTTAATTAAATGATGCCAGAACGAACGTTTAGGAAAATATAATGCCATTCTCTCAGTACAGCGCAGTCCCAAATGAAAAACTACAAAATTTTCAATGAATACGTAATAACAGAATTTGCAGTAGAGGAAAAACAACGTCCAGATCATACAGGCGAAGTGCTTTACGGGAGCAGGGTTAGTTTTTAAATGCAGATTAGCAAACAGTGCCCTCTTTCTGCGAATAGATTTCCCATTTTTCACTTTTTCCTTGTTTATATTCTGTTCTGCCTCTTCCCAGAGCCATGCAAGCCACCTGCTATTAGCGAAACTCTGCAAGACGCTCCCATGTCACTTACATGCCTGCTTCCCGGCTCCCCGCACCTGCTTCTTTGCAGACCCGCCGAGGGCTTGGGTGGAAGACGCTGGGGCGGGAGCAGGGGGCTCCGCAGGGAGGGTGGCAGTTCTGCGTGGGGTTCTGTTTTCAGTTTTGTTTCTGTTCTTTTTGTTTTCTCTTGAAAACCTCCGCTCTCTGGCAGGACAAGATGCCTATTGTTTCTTTACCTCTGTGTCCTCTTGTAACAGAATGAATATTACTGTAGGTTAGACTTCCTGTGGAAGAACAAGTTCAAAAAAGAGCGGGAGGAGATAGAAACCATGGAGAACCTGAACCGCGTGCTGCTGGAGAACGTGCTGCCTGCGCACGTGGCCGAGCATTTCCTGGCCCGGAGCCTGAAGAACGAGGTGGGGCGCGCCGGGGTGGTGGGCGCGGCCAGGGCGCAGAGGTCCCGGGGGCAGGGCTTGGGGGGCCTGGGAGCCTTCAAACGCCGGACTGCTCCTGGCGTCCACTGGCGTCCTGAATTGGTCTGTTCTTGAGAGGAGAATGGTTGGCCGACTGGGAATAGTGAGTTCGAATCCCCTCCGAACGTGTTAGCATGAGCGTTGGTTCGTCATTCCTGGTTTTCCTTCCCCCATCACGTGACACTGTCCGTGTGCGAGGTGAGGCCCTGGGCTTCCAAACCAGTCACAAAAGTGGCCTCTCCCAGGTGTGAGAGGCCACCCGCCTTACCAGCACGCCATAGAGACCGAATCAAGGGGCAGGCATGCACGCCATACGCCCACTGTTTCATTGCTCGAAACATCCCTGGGCGCCTTTAAAGGGCCTTGGAATTTCGAAGATAGGAGACAGAAGTTAGAAGTTATCCACACAAGAGCAGGCCAAAGACCAGAGTCCGCTTTCTTGAGTGGATGGAAATGGGGATTTCTTGGAGCGTCTAAAGGAATGGATATTTAACTAGGATGGGAAAGACAAGGGGGTCACTGTAACGTAGAAACAGCTTATGAAATGAGATGTCCTCAAGTTCTTTAATACTCCTAACTTCCAGGAGCCAGCAGATGTATCTACAGTGAGGAGCACGTACTTGAGCGCCCGGCCCCTGTTGGGCGTGGAGAGGAGGTGCAGCCCCTGTGTTTATTAGGAGGTGTTCAGGGAGGATGGGGAGCAGATGAGGGATCTAGAAACTCAACAGATGCATGAACTTGCTCACAGAGAAGCTCAGCCTTGATGACGCTAGAGTACGAACGATCTCAAGTGACCAGGCCCGAACAGTATTTTCCGTGGCGCATTTAACGTTGACATTGGCTAGAAAGGCCCAGGGAGGGAGGGAGGTGCCAGACGTTACCTCCGTCCTGCTGGACGCGAGCTGGGCATGCGTGCCGCTCAGGGTCCCGCGGCAGGCCTGGGGGACTGTGGCGTGCTCACGTTTCTGTTTCTCCCGCTCTTCCCTGAAGTCTCTACACCTTCAGCCACCTGCCTACCTGCTGGCCACAGATAATGAAATCCCTGTGGCTGTTAGGAAGGGACCATCTGCCTTCGGGAGCAACAGAAGAGCCTCTTTATTCTTTATGTCTGTGTGCCTGGCGGTCAGCTCAGCTCATACATTCCCTGTGCCTACTGTTGCTCCTGCCCTGCGGCCAGGCTGGTGCTGGGCCTGGACAGGAGACGAACGAGACAGAGGTGGCCCTGTCACCCAGAGGGGGCCTGCATCCTCATGTCCCCAGGCACACTGGCAGTGCGCACGTGGGAGTCCAGACGGGCCGCCACTGTGAGGAGGTGGCTTCTGAAACTGGAAAGAAAGAGCTAGAAACTAGCTGCGGGATGGATGCTGATGGACAGGGGTCATGGGAAGAGTGAAAATGTTCTGGCTGGAAGAGTGTCTAGTTCAAGCCCTGCACAAGCCAGTGGCATCAGCCCTTTCCCCTTGCAGACCCTTCCTGACGTCCCCTGACATATCCCTGGACTTGGGGGAAATCAGTGGATTCTCTGTTCGTCCTTGCCGGTCTGACTTATTCTAAGCAAACGTCTGAATCCAGTTGCCTCTTGGAAACTGTAAGGAATGGCAGGGTGGGTCAGGAACAGAAACCTAGTGATGGGTGGCGTGGGCTTGACTCAGGTTCACACCTAGACTCTGTCAGTGGACTTGCCGAGCTCCGTCCCCGGGCTGAGCCCCGTCTCCCCACTCATAAAGGGGAAAGAATGGTAACTGACTTTGCAGGTGTATTGATGGGGGGGGGGTCTACACATTGCATCACCTGAGTGGCCCTCCAGGTGAGGTGGACATTGGACATTGCCAGACACGGAGTCCCACGTCCACACAGGTGGGACCCAGCTGGCAGGGAGATCCCTGTGCCGGCCGCTGATGTTTACTCGCCTGTCTCCTGAGTGGCCCTACTGCGTGCCGCGTCACTTAGCACAACTCTCACGTGCTCCCAAGAGAGGGGTGACCTGTCCCTTCAAGTCTCATCAGTGTGGCCATTTTAAGAACAGGACACGCAAAGAGTCTTCTGTAGCCTTCACCGACCAGGTGGGCTCCCCAGGGAAAGCACTGTGGTGGGGGCAGCGTGGCCCAGTGGGTGTGAGTCCTGGCTCTGGCGCCAACCCCTCTGCACAGGCAGGTGGGGAGCTCTTTGGGGACAAAGTGGGAGTCAGCACATGGACATGGAACCAGGTCTGTGCTTTGTCAGAGAAGACGAGCTCCTAGTGGGGGGATGGGGGGTCTCATCCAAGGCCAGTTCATCCCTGTGTGTACTTGGAGCCTGCGGGGCATGAAGTCCTCCCTGGCTCACAGCGGTAGCTCTGGAGGACGGCTTATCCCTGCCTGCAGGAGACAGAGCCTGGACCAGGCAGCTGGCAGCCCTGGAGGAACGTGAACATGCGCTTTCAAAGTCAAGTTCCGGAGACTTTCAAACTCATGGCCGCAGACAGCCCCAGGCGCCACAGCAGCCCCGTTAGGGCTCTTTGGTCTTCACTCAGGGTCCCGCGATCCCCACGCACTGTTAGACGTGTGCTCAGGAGGATAAAGCGCTACACACTGACTCTTAAATCGGGGACATCGGACCAGTGAGACAGTCCCTGAAATGACCAATTCATTCCATGTAGCTGCTAGTCAGGCACACAACTGCCCTTGGTAGTAGCTTTCCATAGTTTGCTTCCAGTTTTCATCGGTTGGGTTCAATACAGAGCGGTGAGGGGGCTCTATAAGAAGCTACCCTGAGTCTTGAGGATTAAACAATTTCAGGGGCCCCCACGGGGCACCGCATCATCAGGGGGGCCCAGCCCCACCCGGCTACTCCAAGGCAGCGCACTGAGCAGGGAAGGTTTTGCTGTGCGGTTGCTGGACCTCAAACAGTGCATGTAGGAGATTCTGCTGGTGGTGATCTTCATGGGGAAAATCCTGGAACGCAAAACGGAGCTCGCAGCACAGGGCTGAACAAGAGAGAGAATCACTAATCCACTGGCTACCAGTTCTGAGCGCCTCCATGGTGATTCTCAGGAAGGGATGATTACGCTTTTGGGGTTTTTTTCCCCAAAAAGTCCTAACAAGGTTACTCTAAGGAGACTCCTTTGAGTGCATAAGCCATAGCCAGCTCCTGGCCTGTCCTTCTGATCTCCCCACAGCCTAGCTGGCCACCTTCTCCCGTCCCGATCAGACCCCTGTGTCCCTGACTGACCTTCCTCGAGCAGAACAAGCCATTCATTCCCCAACCAGACGTGGATAATCCCAGCCTCTTTGTCCCAGGCCAGCCAGGCTGACGTTTGGACTTCTGCGGCTATGCAGTGATGGCTCGTGTACTATTCAAGAGCATGGATGTCGTCAAGGACGTCCAGGGTCAGGGCCAAGTAGACACCCACTGCGTGAGCCCTTTCTAGCCCTGAGGCTTCCTGAAGAGGAGTTCCAGCCATTTTAAGACACACAGTCCCCTGCAGCGGGGCCTTATCTGCTGGGTCCCAGACCACGTGCAGCACAGGATGGCTGACACTGGGGACCGAGAGAGAGCCCTGCACCCAAGAGCGAGGCCTCTGGAAGGGAAGGGAAGCATGCTGACCCTGCTTTATGTGACCCGCGGCCAGCTCTCCAGCACCTGCCAGGCCCTGCTCAGTGGCTGGGTTCAAAGGTTCGGTCCTAGCCCTGGCACTTCTGAGCCAAGGGACCTCAGGTCTCCATCCTCTCAAGAGTCCCTTATGAAAGTTAAGAGCAATAATTCATGAAAAGCTCTTAGAGGGGCGCCTGGGTGGCTCAGTCTCAGTCGGTTAAGCGTCCAACTTCGGCTCAGGTCATGATCTCATGGTTCATGGCTTTGAGCCCCGCATTGGGATCTGTGCTGACAGCCAGCTCAGAGCCTGGAGCCTATTTCAGATTCTGTGTTTCCCTCTCTCTCTGACCCTCCCCTGCTCATGCTGTCTCCCTCTCTCTCAAAAATAAATAAAACATTAAAAATTTTAAAAAAAGATTTAAAAAAAAAAAAAAAAGAAAAGCTCTTAGAGCAATGCCTGGCCTGCAGTCAAAACTCAACGTTAGATATCTTTTAAGCAAAGATCCCAGATTTATGCAAAACTGGAGTCACTGCCCACTGGAACTTCTTAATAGCTTCAAGGAAGCCGTCTCCCCCTCCCATTACGGGGCCTGAAGAGAATGGAGAACAGACCTCAGGGTAATGATTTTGCCCTTGGATCCAGCAGTTGTGCTTTCCCGGCTACTCCTCCGGTGGGGAGGGCTGGGCACCCACGCCTTCCAAGACCTGGGGTTACTTTGAGAACTTGGGGTGGACAGGAGCCCACCATCAACGTTCCCAGTGCACGGCTTTCTGGAACGGTCTTTGGGAACAGACCACGTGACCCGAGCCAGGCCTGATGTTAACAAAGAGCCTTCCATCTCTCTCCGATTCTCCACCCCACCACGTGGCTGTTCAGAGGAAATGAATTTCCTTTTGGAAGCAAATAATGATTTAATCACAATGACAGTCCCTAAAAGCTTTGATGTCCATGACGCCCTGTTCACTCCGCCTGTGCTCCGGGGGTGTGGGCAGAGCCAACGCGGGTGCTCTAGGCTCCTCTTCCTTCCCTCAGGGGCATTTGCTTCGCTTAGAACGTCTGCAGTTTTCCCCCGCAGCTACTGAGGGGTCTTGGCCAGATGCAGACGAGAGGCCGTGCAAGCTCAGGAGAGGGCTCTGTGCGCCTGAGCCCTTGAAACCACCCCGTTGCAGCAGCAGCGTTTCGAGATGCCTCTTGAGCAGACATCAAAGCTAGCTTCCATCACTTGCTGAAAAGACGACACTGTGTCACTGAATCTGCCCTCTGCCGAGTGGCCAGGTGGGAAGGATGGCGTGTGATTCCGAGCCAGGCTGCTGCACCGCGGGAGAACCGAGGCTCGATCAAAACAGGACACAGATGTCAGCGTGGGTCT